GGGTATTGGGTTTAATTCTATACATTGGTTATAATTCCATGACCGGGTATTGGGTTTAACTCTATAAATTGGTTATAATTCTATGACTGGGTATTGGGTACAGTTCTATTAATTGGTTATAATTCTATGACTGGGTATTGGGCATAGTTCTATTAATTGGTTATAATTCAGCCTGGAGTTGACTGTTTCCAACCTTTCACAACCCAGAAACAAGCTCCACTGCCCACCCATTCCCCAGGAGTCCCTGGAAGCTGCACTCACTTGTTCATGAGGTCAAAGCCCTGGTCCGAGAGCAGAGCCCCGAATCTCTTGCGCAGGTTGTTGTAGGGGTACTCTGTGAAGGTCATTTTCTTCACTGCTGGCAGCTCGTTGTACCCAGGCCAGATTTTTTCACTTGGAGTACCCAGATCCTATAAATTAAAGTATTTCCTTAATAAACTCAAGAGTGCAACCCTTTACTTAGGAGTTGGGAAGCATCCAAAGAAAACAGACAGCACACAGATCGTGGTTTTGGTCTACACTGAGTAATGAGCCTTTTATTAAGGCTGAATCTCTGTCACAGAGCAACATGCACTTTTAATCCCTTACTACTCGTCTCTAAAACCAGTCAGAATCCAAAAAACATTAAAAAAATTACCTTAAAAACTTTGTTAATCTGGTCAATCTCTGACTTCCCTGGGAACAGTGGCTTCTGCGTCAGCAGCTCCCCAAAGATACACCCCACTGACCACATGTCTATGGCCGTGGAATATTCCTGGAAAGAAGGAAAATAAAATTATGCCTTATAAAATCAGTGACATACTTTCACTGAGCTGTTTGGGGAGGTGTGTTGTGGTTTGGGGTTTTATTTGTTTTGGAGGTTTTTTTAAGGATTCTACACCCTGACCACAACACTCACGATCATTCCCACACTCAAGGCCCAGGTCTCAACTGTATTTATTTAAAAGTTGTAATTCCTGTGAATTATGAGCAATAGCCATGTACACAAATACTTCAGGATAAAAGGGGAGAGGTCTCCACACTGATGCCTCTCTTTTCCAAGCACAAACAAAGCAGCACAGCTGATAAAGCAGAATTTTTTCTGGCACGGTTCTTGTCACTGAACCTGACTGATTTCACCCAGATTTCACTTAATCAGCAGGGAACATTGCCAGGACCTTGTTCTGCTCTCAGGTGTCACAGATTTTAGATTAGTTTAAGAAAAAAAATTAAAATCCCAACTGCCAGTTTGCCCCAATCCATGAGAATTCCAACACCACTGACCACATCATTCCAAAGGAGAAAAACCCTCTGTCTGGGGAAGATGGAAGGTTTTTAGCTGTGTTTTTAGGAGGAATATACTGAATATTCAGAATTTCCAGCTCTGAATCAATACAAAGAACCAAGCATGTTCATGATTTATAAAATACAGTCAGGCTGAAGAGAAGGAACCAACCTTGGCTCCAAGCAGCAGCTCTGGAGCCCTGTACCACAGAGTCACCACCACAGGGGTGTAGGGCTTCAGGGGAGACCCATATTCCCGGGCTAACCCAAAATCTCCAACCTAGAAGGAAAATAAATGGCAATTAGAAACATTTCCAGCACTGGCCAGTCACTGTCAGTGCCTTTTTGGCCACTGTGTGGCTTCACCCTTCAGAAACAGCCACACACAACACCCAGTTCTCAGCTCTTGCCAGAACTATGGCACAGTGTAATCCTGCAGCACAAACTCTTCCCTAAGTGTGGTATTTTCCATGGAATTCTTACTTTTAAAATGCCTGAATGACTGAGCAGCAGGTTGGAGGTTTTCAGGTCTCTGTGCAGGATCCAGTTGTCGTGAAGGTGTTTGACCCCTCGCAGTAACTGAATCATCAAGGTTTTCACTTCGCCTGGAATGACAAAAAGGAGCCAAATGCATTTATGAGAATAAATCTACCTTTCATTTTTGTTTCATTTGGAGAACAGGGAAGGGGGCAGGAAGGGGTGTCGAGTTAAAAGCACAGTGTAACTTGTACAATAAAAACATGCCACAGAACAAGAGCAGTTAAACCCAGAGAGCTGCCAATGAGGCAAAATTCATTTGGGTAGCTGGAATGCACCCAAATTATGCTCAGAAATTATTGCCTCTCACAGGAAGCAGCCAAAATTTAAGCCCAGTGTTACTTTTCAGTGTAGCAGAGGGGAAATTCCCTCAGTTCCCCATCTAAACACCTCCACACTGGATTCATCAGCCAAACATCACCAGGAGTATCAGCACTCCCATCCAATCTTAATTTGTGCCAGTTTTTACAGCACTAACAGAAAATGCAGGGAATGCTCTGTTCCAAGGAACATGGGACATTCCAAAGCACCACGTGTGCTTGTACAAAGTCATTCCCTGACGTCAGAACTGCCATTTGTGTGGGCCAGTTTGGAGGATTTTAGGAGACCGTGGCAAACAGTACCTGGCAGAAAGGGCTGTTTCATTGTTTCCATCAGGCTCTTGAGGTCGTGTTCTACATAATTCATGACAATATAGATTTTATCCATATTACTGCCCACAACGATTTCCTACAACACAGAAACAGACCGTCAAAACCAGCACGTGGTGTTTAAAAAGCACCCAAAAATCAATGTTTTAAATTGATCCCGGCAAGAGGATGGAGGCTGCCACTGGTAAAATCCATAAAAAATGTATTCTTCTATTAAAAAAACCATCTTATTTTTGCAAAACATCAGGTTATGGAGACAGTAATGCCTACACAGTCTTGTGAGGAGCACACAACTGCCCACAAGTCTGCAAGGATTGCTAACATCT